CCACCCCACCCCCCACGATCAAGTGTAGTATCTGCTCCGATCAGTTTCATATCTGATCCGTGGTCCATCAAGACCTTTAAAAGAAATAGCATGTGTTGCATGAGAGAGAGAGAGAGGGAGGGAGAGAGAGAGAGAGAGAGAGAGAGAGAGAGAGAGAGAGAGAGAGAGACCCCAATCTAACTAACTACATGGCCTGCCCCTCTCCCCCCCTCATGATCACAGAATTGCGTATCTCCCGACATCTGAGAAAGAATATTTGTGGTGCGTGGGAGACAGGTATGCAATGTGTGACACACACACAACAGTTGAGTTCAAATCCGAACAGCCACCTACCCAGCAAACCACAACTGAAAGGAATGCAAACTGTGATCAGGTCTCTGACAGGACAAAAAAGCAAAAAAAAAAAACAAAAAAAAACGCATATATTCAAGGCATACAAAGCAGCAGCCGCATTCCATCGGCAGTGTCAACAACAGTGCACAGATGAGCCTAAAAACACCCCGGCCCCACCCACCCTCATTTGCACCCTTTTCCCTTCATTTTTTTGCAGGTGAAGCCGCAACAGGTAACATTGTGGAGAAATCAAAGTCTTTGGACGACTTCAAGATCTAGGTCTGGCTTTGCCCAACGGCTGACGCTGCTGTGTCCTTACGTATATGCACGTACTTATTCTTATGCAGGGTTGGCATAGCTCGGGACGTACTCCTTCAAAACGGTTTGAACCATACTTGCGGCGCATGTCGTGCGCGGCACTTGCGCACGTGCGCCGCATCACACAGTGCGCAAGCAGCGCGCGCACGAAGTGCGCCGCATGGCCTAAATTAAGGGTAGACAAAAAAAAAAAAAAATTCGGGGGGTGGGGTGCAAGTGAGAGGGGAGGTTGTCGTAAAAATAAAACCGGGCCCGTGCAGTTTTTTTTGGGGCTGCGCCAAGGCCCGGAATTTTTTTTGGTCCCAACGTTCGAATTCGAACGCTGGGTGAGGTGATCTCCCGCTCAGGCCGCCAGACACTTCACTCGTGTCCTCCACCTCGTCCTCCCGCCGCCGTCGTCATCAAAGTGTCGAAGACCCTCAGCCATCTTCACTCCTCAGTCGTCTTCACCGAAGTCCTCCGTCGGCCATCCTCCATAGCCGGGCAGCAGCACGAGGCCAGCCGCGGGGTTGGGGGCTTGCCAGTTCGCCGGTGCGTTGCTCATCCTGTTGATGAAAACTCTCTCTCTCTCTCTCTCTCTCTCTCTCTCTCTCTCTCTCTCTCTCTCTCTCTCTCTCTCTCTCTCTCTCTCCACACACACACACACACACGCG